AATCCAAGTAGATTGTTGTGTTAGGACATGTCGTCAAACACTTAAAAAGTGTAAAGTACGACTTGTTATACGATATTTTCTTTTTGAAAGAGCTAGATTGAATACGAAAAGAAATTACTTAATGTGGTGGATGCGATTTTTATAAAATATTTTATTAGCTTGATAATGCATGAAAAGTATCGCAAGTGTTAATTAATCTGGTTTTAACCAACTTATATTGATTTGATACGCATATAAAAAATTCGCGAAGGACTTAAGATCACCAAAGCATACGATTTGCTGCATATACATCTCCATAGAAATGTCACAACTAATGGAACATACCATTTCATGTGTACTACAACCAATGGAACATGCTATAATACATAAATATTACAATAATTAGATAAAATTTCACTAACTGGATAAAGGAGATATGTTACACCAAATATTCTAGGGAGACATTACATATTGGTATTTATCTTTAACCGTATTTTTCCAAAAACTATTATAATTTTCCAATAAAAGTTCAATAATCTCACAGAGCCCATATCATATCAACTGGGCCGCTAATGGTGGAGAAATTGACTTGAATAACACTACAATATCCCATTAAATGACTGAGTATTCTTTTATAAAGTTTTTTAATTCTGCTATTTAATTTTTTTTTTTCATTAATAGGAAAAGGAACATCACAGTCACACTGCATGTGACGGGACGGGTCTGAGGGAAAAAAATTCGTTTTTCATTTCATTTTATTATTATTTTATCTAATTATACATTACTAAAACAGTTTAAATTTAAATCCATAATAAAATTATAATAAAAAAAGAAATAAGAGTCGAAATAGTTTATGTTCCCCGTCCTCGCCTTGATTCCCCAATCGAGACAGGAAATGCTCAAAACTTGCCGTTCCTACTTTTTAGCTTCCAACATTTGTATTTTCCTTCGACTAGACAAATAAAACCTCCGATTCATAATTAAATTTTTTGACATAATTCAACAGGCATTTATATTTTAAAGGAGATATGAGTGATTAAATTTATAATATCTTGTAACATGAATTTTTAAACAATTTTTGGTGTTTTTTCTAAATACAGTCAAATTTGTTGTGAATGATTTAGTCGCGTTGAATCATTCATTTCGATGCATTTTTTGAAGTGATGTGATGGGGAATATGTGATTAAAAAAGAAGGAAAAGTTATTGATGTGAGGGAAATATTATTTTACTGAAAAATGTATGGTTAAAAGTGAGTAGAACAATTAGAATGAAAAAAGTAATGTGACTCAAACAGGGACTTCATATGCAAATCGCCAGTGGGAAAAAAGGGAATGAGAGAAGATTTGTGATTCCTGTTTTTTATTTTTTCTTTGGGAAAAAAACCACTTCTTATACGGTAATTGGTGATTTTAACAGGTAATTAAAATCAGATTTTAATCTAAATCAAAGTCAAACAATAAATATTAACCATATTTTTCATGGGTCCCACAACTTTTCTACCACATATTTTAAAAACTTCTATCACAATATACTGACAATCTAATTTTAATTCCCACCAAACACCCACTAAGTTATTTTTAGATGTGAGGATATAATTTTTTAAGGATTTAGATGTAAATGATGGAGATCGTTAGATTTATTTAAATTTAATGATTCAATTCGGTGATTATTTAGTCCATGTTTGGTCCTAATTTTTTAAAATTTATTTTTTTCAAACCTCAAATTTCTAATCAAATATTTCATATGATTCACAACTTTTATTCATATTTTTATCATACATTCATTAACTTTTATTAGAATATTTTAAGCATATGTTTGAGCCCCGTTTTTTAGAGTAGATTTGTAAAAGGTGATTTTTTTAAAAAAATATGTGGTTAAAAAGTAGGATTACATGCAAAATTACTTTATTAGAAAAAATAACAGTTGAAAATGAGTTTAGGAAAAAATGAATTTGAAAGAATGCGACTCAAAACGGGCTAAAAATTATATTTTCTAACTAAACCAAACACTTGTGACTGTAATATGGCCCCAGAATTGGGCACTTCGTCTGTTAAAGCAGTACTTGGCAATGATTCAGAATATTGTGAGACATTTAGGTCGATATTCAGAGTAGGTTTTAGAGCATTGGGATGACTTTTCTTGGGATCTGGAAGGACTAGATTTTCATAACTCCTTTTTACTGAACTCTCAAATCAGCTTGTTTAGCTAAGATTAAAAAGATTATTTACTGAAGGGTAAAGCTATTCAACTTCATTGGGGTTACAAATACAGTTTAAGTGTTGCGTTGATGTGACATTAAATGATACGTCATTTAATTTCACTTTTCATTTCACCTATCATTTAGAGCCATCTAGACTGTGTTTATAACCCAATTGAAGATGAATAACATTACTTTTTACTAGAACTTATTCTGCTTTTTAATTAATTTTGAAGCTAAGCCAAACATGGAACTAACAGGTCCTTCAAGGGGAAGGAACTAAAGCACTGATACAATATTTTTGAAGTATTTATGCTTGCTCTATTTAATATTTTCATGTAAGAACATTTATTGAAAATATAAACACCAACAAATTAAACAATCATTCACAACATATTCAGGCCATGAATATACAAGCTTTTTCTTTTGATAAGACATGAAGACTTTAACTCAAGTGAAGAATGCGAAGTCCTTGTGGGTCGATTAAGGACAAGTTTAAAAACTTTTTGGTCTACCCTAATTTGAAATTCTAATTTCGTCCTTGTGTAATCGTGTGTATCAAGTCAAACACTGCACACAAGTTCTATTCACGTTCACAAACTGAATAAGCCTCTTATAACTATCTTCCTTAAAAAAAGAAGAAAAGACTCTCATGCAAAATTAACATAACTGATGATATTCAACTACATTCAAATCTCTGACTAAAGAAAAATGATAGTAGACGAATGAAATAAAAACAAATTAATAGTTGTTTGTCGTCGCGGCTATTCGTTTAATCTATTGTTACATATACCCAGAATTCATTCTTTGAGATCGCATCTTCTTAGGAATGTAAACTTGTGAAAGGTACCAACACAAATTGTAGGAGGTACTAAGCATATCAATAAAGTTGAAGCATGATATGTTACTTTGCTATATATTCCCTTTTATATTTTCTTCTCACTTTTGGCATCCTCACGGCCCAATGCCCCTTCTATATTGTGCCTTGTAAAGCCAAAATCCCTTTTAAAAGGAACTTATGGAACAAAAATAAATCCCACAATAAAATACAGATCAAAAGCCATTTATGACTCAAATTGTCTGCTTCCATTGAATTTTTAACGATTTAGCCTCCGTTTGTTTCTCATTTTTCATCCATAAAAATGAAAAATGTGAATGTTATCCATTACATAAAGCCATCAATTTTGTATTTCCATATCTTGTGTGGGACCCAATAAACACTATATTTTTCATTCTCATTCTACAATAATGAGAATCAAAAGGGCCCTTAATTAAATAGATGCTTTTCTACAGACATCCTATTGTGTTAGTGATTTTTCGTTGACTTACAGCTTTTTTAGAATCCCATTCCCTCGAAAACGGGAAATTTAGTGTGTCATTATTGCAACACATTCGTGTATTTGTTAGTAACGAATAATTAAACATATAGATTTCATTATTCATTTCACGATCTTCATTGTAGAAAATAGGAATTATTATCTTTTAATATAGTGGAATTCTTGATATAAGCATAAATCATGATATAAGTAATTTTTGTACGAGAAAAGGGACTTAACAGCACGATAAAAATTATCTTCTTCAATTTCTTTCTTAGTTTTCACCGACCATAACTTCTCTATTTCTTGAAAATTTGCATCCTCAATTCATCGGCCAAGTGGTAGACATTGAAATGACTTCAAATCTTGTAACCATCCCCATCCACTGCTTTTGTACTAAAACAGTGCACTTTTCTTTTGAATAAGCTCACTTCTAAACACTCAAACAAGGTAATTGCCTCATAGATAAGCACCTCTACATTTCCCACGTCTAAGAAGTTTCAAGAAATCAAATTATTGCAAAAAAGATCAATAATTTTACCTTCTAGAGACTTGGACGGTACGATTCTACTATATCTTGTATCTATCTTATTTGTGTATCTTTTAACCAGTGTTTTAAAAAACATAAGATGTGTCTAGGCTTGGAGGTCAAGTTTCAAGTTAGACAAGTTCGACATAAAAAAAAGTTTTTTAATTTTTAATCATTCTAAAAATCATTTAATAAATAAAATAATACATACCAAACATTTAAAATTATAAAATACTATATTTATTTAATAATTTTCACAATTAGTCAAATAAAAAGCTTCTAGAAAAAGAAAAAAAATTAATAAAGTGCGCATAAACAAGACTTGCATTAAGCGGTCAACTTGACAGTTGATCACTTAATCTCACACTTACTGTTAAAATGAGATGTTTCATCCGAGACATTTTTTAAAGGTCGAATTCATTTTTCATCACTTTCTCACATACATGCAATTTTATTTGTAGATGACATCAAGACTTGGTTGCAACATCTCTATATGCTCTCATGCTATATTGAGTTATCTCATCTAAAAATTGAAGCTGTTACATACAAGACACATTCATCTTGTTTTCAACCAAACTCACTCGAAATTGTGTTTAGCATAGAATGCAATCCACCGATAGATCCGAAATCTGTATTCATCCCATGTACCTCCAACACAACGTGTAACATGTATTGTCATGTCATGTTTATGCCAAACTTTCATTATTTTTTTACAGCCACAAGAAGCATACTTTTTGCAATAAGTGGAATCTAAGTTAGTGCATATGTAGCACTAAGAAGAAAGACAATGCTGTCACAAAAGTTCAAGGTTGAATAACACAAAAGCATATCCCACATATGGATAAAACAAAAATAATTGTCTACCCTCAAAGTCATAGAACACCATCACATTCTTTGCCTGTCATAAAAAAAGTGCTGTCACCACAGAACCAAAACTTTACAGACCACCCGACCCACCCCATCGGGAAGACAAAAGCCCTAGAGAGCATTATCAATGTTTTCATTTTCTAAAACTAACAGTTCTTTTTTCTCTTCATCAGTATTTTGTTTGCTCATTTCCAAGCTAGTTAGCTTAGATGCTTTCAAAGTTTCCACTTCCCAATCTATGCACTTGAATATGACATACAGAATCGAAATGGCACAGGCCGCTTGAGCCGACAGGAGCCCGAACCATAACCCACTGAAGCCGACCTTGAGCCAGAAGGCCAAACCAACAGCTATGGGAGTGCCCACGAAATAAAACGAGCCAAGGTTGATACGGGCACCCACAACTGGCCTGGCTACGCCACGTAGAATGCCACAGCCGGTGGTTTGTGGACAGTTCCCAAGCTCACATAAGCCAATGACTGGCAAAACGGATGCTACAAGAGATTTAAGGTTTTCGTCTTTGGTGAATAGGCCACCCCAACTTGTCCGAAATATCGATGTCCAAATAACATTGACAATTCCAATCACAAATGCACATGCCAATGCAACCATTGCAGCCAGCTTTGCTTTGTACGGCATCCCAGCTCCCAACTCATTCCCCACCTGCATGGAGAATCAATTTATGAATTTCGATCAAATCAGCATTTCGTAAGAATTAACCCTCCAAGAGGAAAGAAACATACAAAGTCCACTACTCTCGAGGATCAAGAACATAATGCACAAAGAACACATAATGATGCTCCCTTGCACTACATACCGAGAATATGAAATTAGAACAAGTTCCGTGATACCATCGTAAAAAAAGCCGAAGAATGTCATGCAAACGTGATCACTTTTTGGTTAGTTAAAAGGTTGTCATTAATGAGAAATTGGCATGGAAATTTAGCCTCAAAAGAACAATATAGGCAGCATGAAAATTCAAAACTTGTCCATAGAAAATTCGTCCAACCACATTACTGTGTGACATGGAACATCCCTGTTTTCTACTTATGTAACAGAGTGGTAAGATTATAACAACCAATGCGTTAGTGTTAATCTAATCACAAATAAAAGGGCTTAACAAGAATAATTCAAACACCTTATAAAGTTTTAATCAAGGTGCCTTCCAGTGAACAAAAGAATAAAAAGAAGCCAATTGATGCAGCACACGTCAAATATATTTGTTTAAATTTACTGAATGGTGGCCAAATTGCCCCCAAAAAGTACATGAAGCATAAAAGACTAGTTGAAAAACGTAGTCTAGTTTTATGTAGAGAATCATCCAAGATACAAGTAAAAACTTACCCTCGCTGAGACACAGCCAGCCAAGGCCATTGGCACGGTGTACATAAGGCTAGTGGTCTGGATGAGTATCCCGGTTGCAGCCACCGCGAGTTGAGGATTAGGCAAATATCCAGCCAAAACCGTCACAATCTCATACCACCACCACTCTAAACAAATTCCAATGCAACTAGGCACAGCAAACTTAAGCAACGGCCCCAACCCACCACACACTCCACCAATCCCCGCCTTCAACTTCCATTCCCACCTCCCATAGGAGTACACATACCCCATCATCAGCAGCATCATATGCAGGTTTGTCAACACCGAAGCCATCGCCACCCCGGGAACCCCCAAACCCATAACCACGACAAGAAAATAATTCAATGGCACGTGGAATATCACGGCCACGAAAGTACACCACATTTGAGGTTTAGTAACCCCTTGTGACCTTAAATAAACCCTCAAAGGTTGTAACAAAGTGTTGGTCAACAGGTCAGGCAGGGAATAGATACAATACTTAGCAGCCATTAAGGTAATGTCTTTGTCTTGTCCCATGAAAATCATGATGGATTCAAGATTAATCCAAAGAAAACTGATTGGAATGATAGCCAAGAAAAGTATTAAGATCATACGGTGGAGAGAGACAAACAGAAGATCCCAGTTTTTGCTACCATAAGCTTGGCTGCAAACTGGCTCAAGCCCAGAAGCCAAACCTACTAAAACAGAATAGCCAGTGATGTTTGTGAAGCCAATGGAGAGGGAACCTCCGGCTAGCTCGAGGTTCCCAAGCCGACCCAAGAACAAGACAGAAACCACGGCTCGGATGTAGACTAGACAATTCATTGCTGTTATTGGCAGTGCCATTGACCATAGTTCCTTCAGCTCCTCCACCACCTTTTCGAAAAACCCACAAAACATTAGAACACGAAGTTAGAATTGAAACTGGGATACTAATGGAAGTTCTTCCCTTCTAAACCAGATAGATTTATGACAACGAGTTCTTTCAAAATTGTGCAGTTTGTACAAATTATAAGTTTCGTCGCTACTTTATAGAAGATAGTTAGGCATGCAGTATTAGGATATCACTAGACATAGACGGTAAAATAAATTAGATTCTAGCTTGCTTTCATCCTTTAATACTGTTAAATGCTATCCAGACCCAATTTAACACTTGCAATATTTTGGTAATTCTACTTGACCAAACCAGAAAACATAATCAACAAGATTCGAGTTTCTTTTCCCAATGCTATCAAATGTCTCTCCAAAAATGTTATTACACGTCTATTTGTGTCTAACACCTTACTATGTCTGTATCTGTATAGATAAGAAAAAATATAAATAATATATTTTAAAATACAAACTGAGAAATATTCAACATCCAAAAGCCGAACATAAATAATAGAGATATAGATATAGATATATTTATAAAAACGGAGGTATTACCTGGGAAGAGGAGGGGAGTTTGTGAGAGTAAAAATCTGGGCTTTGTTCAGCCATTAATGAAACTGGGAAAATCTGAACTGAAAAGGGCTACTGGAATTGCATGTAATAATCTGCTAAACAAGAAAAATACCAAACAAGTTACTTATTTTCCAGAAACTTATATAGGAAAAATAAGAGCATTGATGGAAATAATTTTCTACCATTCATTGTTCTTTCAAACTTTCTTGATTATAGATGACCAAGTAGAAGGGCTATTGAATGTTAGGAAGGGTGTTAGATACCATATAAGTGTTTATATAGGCCTGTGGAGAGGTGTAGGCGTGGGGTGGGGTGGAGTATATATATTATACAGGCAACTTTTGCTGCTGGCGGCGACTATGACGTGAGATTAATAGGGGATTCTACAAGTAACAGAGGAAACTGTAAAGGACACATGTATCAAAATGGAAAATATTTTAGAGAGAGAAAGGAAAGCGATGTAGAGAGAGAAAGATACTGAAGAAATAGAGCAAGACAACCTCTTTACTTTCTCTATGGCGAGTAAATTTTACTTTTACTACCACAATAATATGGTCAAATTGTTAATTTTTAAATTTGAAAAGGCCAATTGATTATCGACTAGTGATTATGCCTTTCTAATGTTAATACCTAATTAAAGATCGATTGTTACGTACACTTAATATATTTTAATCTAAGATCGACTTTATAAGGCCAGCTCGTAACGTCGTAGTTCGAGGGAGCATAATAATTATAGATTCTTTACACACTGATAAAATATTCAATCAAATTAATTATTGTATTCAGAATTTATGTCAGTGCCCATTTATTTCACCAATCGTATGATGTAACTTCGCTTACTCACTAGCTCATTAATTGATAGGGACCCACCTAAAGGACGATTTTATGATAACATGACAAGCCGACCTCAGCAACCAATGGAGATATGCGAGTAATGTACTTTTTCAATTCGGCACTGATGATTGACAAGATAGAAAAGTGGGTGATACCTGATTTTTCTTTCCTATAAAAAGGGTGCGTGGTATCTTTGGATAAAGGAGAGGATTTTGGGATATTTCAAATATCTCATTTGGTTAAACACTTATAACTAAGAAGTGATAATCAATAAAAATCCTGAGTTTTCTCTTTATTTTGCTTTCAAAGTTGACTTAAATGGATTTTTACGCTTTTTAATGTCAACATCTTATATTAAATTTAGGGAATCTGTTATGCCTTTTGATTTTGGTTGATCATTATACTAGTTTTGCTACACTTGTAGCATTGTTGACGATTTTGTTTACATGTCATAACGTAGAACACAGTTTTACCATTGATTAGAATTTCAATAAAAACAATTAATGATCTCAATTTTTACACATCATGAAATGTCAACCAAGACATATAAATGAAATGTACAAGTAGTTTAATTCATCATTATACTTGAAAGTTTTGTTTTCTTTCTTATGCCATAGATTGAATAGACATTTAAAATGCTCCATACGTCCCATTTATATAGGCTTGCTTTGTTTTTTACACGGATTAAGAAATCTTATTTAATGTTATTGGAAAAACGATTTTTGCCAAAAACTTTTCTAGTTTACCCTCATTTACCTATCAATAATTAATAGTAAATTATTGTTGAAAGTAGTAAAGAAATAATTGTATATTAATAAACGAACAAAATAAAACATTCTTAATAAAAAATAAGACTATATAATTGGGAAAAAAAATAAAGAAATTGAGCCTATATAAATGGGACAGAGGGACTAATTATAATTATAATGGGGATACAATTTTTTTCTAAGCAAGCAACTCTATAATCATAATTTTGAAATTGCTGACCTTGCTTTTTGCAAGGATGACGTGGCTAATCGAGCTTAGTTCCTGCAGTATCCACATAAGTTGTAGACCCGCACACTTGGACAAACCTTTAGTGCATACAATCAAACTCCAACGATGGGGGAGGTGATCGCAGGCACTCCAACGATCAAGTCCATGGGGTGAATTATATAATTGGATGTGGGGTAGCAAAATTAGATGTTGAGTGTATAAACTCACATTACCTTGAAATTGTAATATGTGTGTTTTTATAGTAAAAAATGACGAACAAGAGTCGTTGGATGGAGAGACATGTAACCTCATCCTAGCGGCTGGGGTCTCTTGTCTTAGACATCCATCAATCATTCGTAGGTCATGTTGTATTTAATATTGTGACAACTTGATAGCCTTAGGCATGACTTCACTTTTTTGGTTGAGTAGAGTCACATATTAAGTGAGTTGTCATATCACCCACTTGCAGGCAGACCTTTCATGAAGGCTCTCCTAAGGCGCCTCAGTTGAAGTGGCATGACCACAACGAACCGATTCAAGTCTGTTCCACGAGTTCAGTTCTACCATAATTGCTTGTGTCATAACAGTCATGTGGCGCCCTTGTGGCCTTAATCTTTGCAATAACTTTCTTCCCCGTGGCTCTAACTGGAGCCTCCTTGACGAGGCGTAACATATATTAAACTGATATTATTATTACAAGGAGGTTGTAACTTAATATATTTTGACTAGGATACCATACATTAATAATTAATTAATGGAGTACGTCAAATTTAATATATAGACATTGATAAAGATATAGAAATAGTTTCAAAAAATTAGTACATGTATCTATTTAGTGTTTAAAATTATTACTACGTGGAGACGAATTATTTAAGACAAGACTTCAAGATTTTTTAACTTATTACATCTTGAAATTTATTCTTATTTATAACTAGTTCAATATGGTACCGAAAATTTCTATGACTACATGGAGGTTATACCTATATAGATATCACTATAGATATGTCTTACTATAGATAAAAGAATGGCAAACGAGAACAAGTTCGTATAGTTAATTTTAAATATTATATATAGCATTTTTGTTGACATTGCCATTATGATTTGATGATTTATTGTCGCCGCTTTATTGATATTTTAAAATTTTAATTTAATTTCCAGATTTTGACTTTAAATACTTGTTTCATTTGAATGATTGTTAGGTTATTAATGTATTCACTTATTTGATCAATAATTGAATAGATTTGTAATTTTTATTTTCGTTCGAACGAAAGAATATGAAGCTTAGCATATAGTAACAATCATTGTAAAGTCTCCTAGGGAGTAGAAATATACTGCTATACTTTATATGAAGTTTAGCATATAGTAACAATCATAGTAAAGTCCGATGGGGAATAGAGATATACTGCTACACTTTAAGCGAAAGAATATGAAGTTTAGTATATAGTAACAATCATTGTAAAGTCTGATAGAGAATATAGATATATCGTTATACTTTGTATAGTCTTATTGGGTCGACTATTTCTAGCGATAAGTCGAGCCTTCATTGATATTGGAAATGTGAGCTAATCTTGAGGATGGAGGATGAACAAACAGAATTCAGTATGCACACAACTTCCAAGCGACCATCCAATGTCAAGGAGTGTTATAGAGTTGATGATGAGGAGATGAGTGATCAAGAAAGTTGTCCATACGAAAGGGAAATATGTGGACATGTTGAAGCACTAAAAGATGAAAACCGTTATTTTAGAATTTGGAGAGCAAAACGAAAGTGTGGAAAGCCGATAATTGTAAATAGTATAAGGCTAGCACAACATGTTTCTAGCTACAGTGAAGTAATCACGGTCAACGTCAAGCCCTAGACTATAAATTGCGCATTCAATGGTGGGCAACCCATTTTTCTAGCCCTGACTCGTGTTTTAGTTATTTGTTGCTTTCCATGTAGTAAGATACGATTGTATTTAACGCTTAAGTACGTTTCATTAATTTTTATCTTATGTGTATTAGCATTTTATACCTATTTCAGTGTGACAATTATGCCAAAAAAACTTATGAATCTAGGGTTCAACCATACGATCGCATAGATAGTCAAGCTTGTGATTGGAAGTCCGTACAAATCCCTAACAGTGCTTGAGCCTGAACAAGCAAAATTCAGTATGTACACAACATCGAAGCAACCATCTGACCTCAAGAAGTGTTATAGAGTTGATAATGAGGAGATGAGTGATCAAGAAAGTTGTCCATACGAAAGGGAAATATGTGGACATGTTGAAGCACTAAAAGATGAAAACCGTTATTTTAGAATTTGGAGAGCAAAACGAAAGTGTGGAAAGCCGATAATTGTAAATAGTATAAGGCTAGCACAACATGTTTCTAGCTACAGTGAAGTAATCACGGTCAACGTCAAGCCCTAGACTATAAATTGCGCATTCAATGGTGGGCAACCCATTTTTCTAGCCCTGACTCGTGTTTTAGTTATTTGTTGCTTTCCATGTAGTAAGATACGATTGTATTTAACGCTTAAGTACGTTTCATTAATTTTTATCTTATGTGTATTAGCATTTTATACCTATTTCAGTGTGACAATTATGCCAAAAAAACTTATGAATCTAGGGTTCAACCATACGATCGCATAGATAGTCAAGCTTGTGATTGCGAGTCCGTACAAATTCTTAACAAAGTAGCTAGGCATTGAATCATGTGATCAAAGGCCTTAAAGTCATGAGATAGCATGGCTATGGTCGTCGGGAGTTTTAAACCCCTGACATCACCCTAATTTCATAATTCACAAAACTTCAAGAAATTTCAACTCTCTCATCCCAAAAACACTTTCAACTGATAAAAAAAAAAAAAACTATTTTTATCTAAAAATTCAATACTCTCTCATCTCATGGTTATATAAGTAACTCGAATGTTATTTGCTTTTCTAGAAATAAAAAATTCAAAAAAAAATCTTTTTATATGTGTGTTTGTTGAGTTGGATAGCCTTGTCGTTAATGATGATATTATTTAGAATTTTTTATGATTCATAAATTGTGACTAGATAATGCCACTTTAGCTATTTTGACAATTATTCATGTGAACTTGTAAAATCTTGAGCACAGCGGTCACTATGTTTGTTGGTTGGTTACATTTATGTAATAGGTTGAATTAATTTTGAACTTAGACACAATTGAAAATACAATCGCTCAACCATTTGAAATGATAGTTTGAGGTGCAAGCAATGGTAA